ATTATTTGGTTATTTCATTTAGATCACCTTCATATGTGTATATATTCTAGAAAGCTACTGTATTAGGTTTTCATATGATCCCTCAAGTGACCCTTAATTTTAGCTGTCTACTCCTGTATTCCCTCCCTTGTGACCCTCTTAGCTAACCTTCCACACTTGACCCTCCATTCCAGTACCCCACTCCACCCATTCATAGCTATCTATTCTATTTCCTTTTCCTAGGGAGATCTATCCATCCACTACAGTCCCTTACTCCACACCTGATCTCTGTGGTTCTATGGATTGTGGCTTATCATTGACTTAATAGTTAGTATACACATAAAAGTGGATGCATACTATATTTGTCTTTCTGAGTTTGGGTTACTTCATTCAGGGTGTTTTTTTTTCTAGTTCCATCCATTTACTTGTGAATTTCATTCTTTTTAACAGCTGAATAATATTCCATTGTATAAATGTATCACATTTATCTATCTGTTGAGAGATATCTAGGTTGTTTCCAATCTCTGGCTATTAGGAATAGAGCAGCAACATGACTGAGCAAGTGTCTCTGTTAGGATGAAGCATCCTTTGGGCATATGCCCAAGAGTGGTATAGCTGGATCTTGAGATAGATTCTCAGATTCCTGAGAAACTGTCACACTGATTTCCATAGTGGCTATACTAATTTGCACTTCACCAGCAACAGTTCCCCTTACTCAACATCCTCGCCAATATGTGCTGAGTATGTGGTAAATTTTGGAGAAAATTTGATGAAATGTTGGGGAGAAAGTAAATTCTTTTGTGTTTGGGTGAAATATTCTATGAATATCTGCTAGATGCATTTGATGTATGTTAGTTAGCTCCAGCATGTCTTCTTTTTAGTTTTTACCTGGATGGCTCATCTATTGACAAGAGTGGGGTATTGAAGTCACCCCCTTTATTACTGTTTGAGTGGCAATATAAATACTTAAGCTATAGTAGTATTTCTTTTATGAACTTGGGTGTCCTTGTATTTGGTGCATAGAAGTCAAGAATCTCAATGCCCCTTTCATGTTTTTTTCCATTAGTATGTAGCATCCTTCCCTATCTTTTCTGAGTAGTTTTTGTTTAAGTCTACTTTGTTAGATATTAAAGCAAGTACACCAACTTGCTTCTTGGATCCATTTGCTTTAAATGTCTTTTTCCATCATTTTATGCTGAGGTGATATTTATCTTTGATGTTAAGGTATGTTTCTTAGATATAATACAAGGATAGATCTTGTTTTGCAACCATTCTGTTAGTCTACTCTTTTTATTGGGGAATTAAGACTGTTGACATTGAGAATGAGCAGTGTTTGTTGATTCCTGTTTTGTGGTTTGTATTGTGTGTGTTTCCCCTCTTTTGATTTGCTTGCTTGGGATTACTCCTTGTGTTTTCTAGTGTGTGATTAACCTCTTTAGATTAAAGTTTACCTTCTAATACCTTCTGTGGGACTGGATTTGTAGATAATGCTTAAATTTGGTTTTATCATGAATATCTTTTCATCCATTGTGATTCAAAGTTTTTCCTAGTATAGTAGTCTGTAGTAGTCTGTGCTGCCATATGTGTTCGTTAATGTGTTCTGTACAGACCCTCTGGCTTTTAGAGTCCTCATTGAGAAGTCAGGTGCTATTGTATTATGTCTACCTTTGTATGTTATTGATCTTTTTCCCTTGCAGTTTTTAATAATCTTTTGTTCTGTACACTTAAGTGTTTTATGTATTATATGCCATGGAGAATTTTTCTGCTCTAGTCTATTTGGTGTTCTGGATGCTGCTTGTGCATTGATAGGTAACTCCTTTCCATTAGGGAAAATTTATTATATGATTCTGTTAAATATTTTCTGTGCCTTTGACCTGGGTTTCTTTTCCTTCTATTCCTATTATTCATAGGTTAGGTCATTTTGTAGTGTCCCAGATTTCCTGGATATTTTGTGCCTGTATTTTTTTCTTTTTAGATTTAACATTTTCTTTGAGGTATCTATTTCTTTTATTATGTCTTCAATGCTTGGAATTTTCTTCTATGTCTTGTGTTCTATTGGTGAGGCTTGCCTCTTAAGTTTATGTTCAATCTCCTAAACTTTTAATTTCCAGTTTTCCCTCTGTTTCAGTTTTCTTCATTGATTTTTATTTATACTTCCAAGACTTGAATAGTTTCCTTCCATTGTTTGTATGTGGCAATTATCAGGACCTACTGTAATAGAGTTGCTGTGCTCTAGTGGAGACATACTGTCCTGTCTGTTATTTTACCTGTTGTTATTTACACCTGTATCAAGGCACCTGGGTTTGGGATGAGTGTAATTCTAGGTGCTGCTATCTGGGCTTGTTTTTGTTGGGTACATGTTTTGTTCCTTGGTTCCTGTTGCCCACCTTCAACTTTTATTGATTCCTTGTGGATTTCATATCCTGCATCCCAAACCCACTTTTCTCCCCATCCCCTCTTATCTGCCTTCTGCCCTTGCAAGCCCCAACCCCAACAAAACCAAATTTAAAAGAAACAAAAACAAAAACAAAACAAAAATCCCAGGAATCTTGTTGTGGAAGCTGTAATGTGGCCCATTGAGTCACAGCTTACCCTTTAGTCCATTCATCTTTACTTGCATGTGTTCATTGCTAGAGTTATTGGTCTGGCTGGAGGCCTCTGGCTTCTGCTACACTTTGGCTAACGCGGGGGCTCCTTTTGGGTATCCTGTTGTTGTCCTGTGTCCTGCAGTTTTGGAATTATAGGTTCCTCCACTTCAACTGCTCTAGCAGTTCATATATGAGGTGGATATTGGGGAGGGCAAACTCATAGCCCTGGTTCTGGGCCTGGATGGTAGTTGCGTTGATCATTTCGCCAGCTCTCCTTCATCCTCACTGCCAGGATGAACTCTCCAGCACTGCATCACCTAGTTCACCCAGTGCAGCCTGTAGCAAGGAGCAGGGCCAATTTTGCTCTCATGCCCTCAGAGCTGGCTCACCTGCACACCCTGACAACAGGGTCAATCTAGTGTGCTGTCTAGGTGAGGTGCAGGGCCCTCTCTCCCAATTGCTGGAGGGGGGAGGCATATGGGGAAGGGGTAACTCTCCTACTCGAATGCCCTCAGAGCTGGCTCACCTGCACACCCTGACAACAAGGTCAGCTCTAGTATGCTATCTAGGTGGGGGTGTAGGGCCCGTTCTCCTGTGTCACAGCTGGTGAGGGGCAGGGCTAGTTCTCTCACTTTTGTGACACAGAACCAGCTCTCTTGCCTCCCACAGATAGCAAGGGCAGAGTGGGGAGGGCGTCTTTCCCTCACCCATGCCATAGCAGACAAGGTGGGTGGGGTCAGCTCTGTTGCTCTCCTGCCCTCAGGGCTGGCTCACCTATGTTCCTGACAACAGGGTTAGCTCTAGTGTGCTACCTAGGCATGGTGCAGGGTTCAGTCTCTTGTGTGCTATAGTTGGTGTGGGGAGGCTTAGTACTTTCATTCTAGTAGCCTTCCCCCCTCCCGCCCTTGACCCCCACCCGCCAGCTTTCATGCCTGCCATAGATAGTCAGGGCCAGAGTACAGAGGGCATCTTTCTCTCATCCATGCCACCACATAGCAGACAAGGAGGGTGGAGGTCAGCTGTCGTGACCCCAGGCCCTCAGGTTCAGCTCACCCATGATCCCTACCACAGGGTCAGCTCTAGGGGTCTAACCAGGTGAGGTGCATGCTTATGGTAAACTTGGCTGGCCTACTTCTGTGCCAGGCCTAGAGACAGGTGATAACTGGTTAGCCTACTTGCTTCCCTGGCCTGAGTGCTCCCAAGGAATGCCTGCTGGTGTTGGAGCTGGGATAAAATGATGAGTGGGAGGGAAGTAAGATTTGGAAAGATCTGTGTGAGCCACTGGAGATGGGGGCAGGGAGGGAGGGGAGGTCTCAGCAGGTGCTTAGTTAGGGGACTGAACTGGATCTGAAGAGGGAAAGGTGAAAATCTGCCTTTAGTCTACTTCTCGGACTGCCATGCTGTTTGTTGTTCTTAAATCATGTCTAATCTTGATTTAATGACTCCCCTTTAGAAACACTGATTAGTTGTGACTTACTCAGCTTGAAAAATTGATGGCATCTGACCTAAGAACTTAACAATAATCTCATTAATGGAATTAAATTTTAGAAAGAGAGCACATCCAAATAGCATAAATCCATTCGGTCTTTCACCTCAATCTTCTCTACTTCCCCAGTGCTAGAATTATACTAAATTCCCACCATTGGTGGCTAATTTTTAGACATTGCTACTATTCCAGCTAAACTACCTACACTTCTACCAGCTTTTGATTGTTTTTGTGCTTTGTGTGGTTCTGGGAATTGAACCAAGTGCCCCATAGGTGCTGCACCAGGTTTCATCAGTGCTCTCCATGCCTTGCCTTTAGCATTTGGGATTAAAGGGTAAAAACACCAAATACATCATTTTAACTAATATGTACTTTTCAGTACTGGCAAAGGTAAACACTTATCCATGCTATTTATACTCTTGCTACCTCATCTCTCCACGAGCTGATGCCACAGATGGCAGGCACTTGAACAGGTGTGATGGTCAGTTTTAATTGTCAGCTTTACGAAATCTAGAATAACTTGGGCAGAGCATCTTAATGAGGGATTGCTGATGTCTGATCTTTGGGCATTTCTGTAGGAGACTGTTTTCCCTGTGTTCATGGAGGTGGGGGATGTGCTGTTCATTGTGGGTAGCACCATCTCCCAACTCCAGTGTAGGGCAGAGGTGAGCACCAGTAAGCAGTCATACATTCCTTTTCTCCTTGCTTCTGACTGGATGTGACTAGCTGCTTCAAGTGCCTGCCTTGACTTCCCCAAAATGATGTGCTCTAACTGGGAATTACAAGCCAAATGAATAACTCATCTTAAAGCTGCTTGTGAGCAACAGGAGAGGAAACAGGATGGCAGGGGGCAGATCACAGATAAATAAAATACAACTGCAAACAGGGGCCTGTTTAGAAAATAGCTACTTAGATCCCAATGTCAAATCAATGATGGAAAAAAACAATTTACTAAAATATTTCTTTTATTTGAATAAGGTCATTTGACATTTCTTGAATTCCAGCTAGCATCAAGTAACAATCACAAAAGCAAAACAAAAAACAAAAACCCTTGACAAAATGTTATATTATTATTGAAATTGACAGTGGATAGAAACCCTTTTAAACTCTAACATCATAAAAGAAATATCTTAAAACGAGCAACATACAGATCTAAAAAGTTGCAAGAGATGATCTCACCCTAAATCTTACAAACACAAAATTCCAAATGACTTGATTTGTTCATCGCCTTTCTCCAACCAGCATGTGGGCGCTTCGAGAGAATCACAGCCAGGCAACCAATCAGCTTTTCTTTCCAAAGACTGATTGTCCACAGAGAAAGCAGGTGATTAACCTCTTATTCAAGTCTTTTCCGTTTCCTCAAGTTATCAACATATGCAGCTGTCTGAGATAAAGTGGTGACAATCAGGAAGGCCACAGCTTCAGCAGGCAGGCTTAAGCTTTGCCTGAGTCAAAGATGATTCTACAAGTTTCAGAGTCCTCACTGAAGTGCCACGAGGTCAGCCAACCTGGGGTTAGTTTGTAGTTGCTGATGTCTTTTAACAAAACAAACACTAACAAGCACAGGAAGGACCAGCAGAGCTGCTGATCTCAACAACAGTGAAAATGTGCGTAGCTCAGCTTAGAGCCAAGGAAACAAACACCATCACACACCTCTTCCTACTCCTCATTTCAGTGGTTCTCAACTGTCAGTGTGCAGTGTCTGTGGGATGGACACTCTGAAGCCCCCCAGTGATGCGGCTGGCTTGGAATGGGGTCTTGGAATCTGTATTCCTAATAAGCACTCCATGAACTGAATGGCTGGTCCATGGGCCATACTCTGAAAAACACTGACGTGCCTTCAATATGTGACAAAACACTGGTTATTGTTTGTGATTCCATGGTGAAGTTTTATGCTAAATAAAGCATTCAAATAATTATAACGCAAATGGCATATTACACAAGCCTATCAGCAATTACATAATTGCAATTTCTTTTAAGAGTGGCATCATAAAATTACATTAAAGTGTTAAAATAATTTTGTTTTGATCCAAGGCACCTGTAAAATAGTTGCTGGTGTGAGAAGTGAATTACTGCAGTTACACAGGACACTACAGAATAGAGGGACGCTGGCAGCGCTAAGTTCCCACAGCGTAGGGTTTTGCTCAGAGGCTTCAGACTGAATGATCTCGAGGAAAACAAAGAGATATATATATATACCCTGTCAACTATCTTGCTGAGTGATATTTAAAAGACTCCTGCTACAATGGCTAGCTGCAATCACATTAGGAATCATCACTGTGCTTCCCCTTGGACTTGAAAAATGTACACTGCCCAGATCTGGGATTCCTTTAACATTCAGGCACATGACTGTGGACTTTGTAATACTGGCTTTGGCAGTCCTTTATCTCAAGATTTCCCAATGTCTACAATTTGACATTTCACTGAAAGGTTTTTTCTTTTATTAAATTCTGGAAAATGACACTTGTGGAACATGAGTTTCCAAGTGTTAACACTACAGAGAAGTGAGAAGTGCTTTACGCTGTAGAGTTCCGTGAAGCCACTGTGAGTGCACTGTGTTTGAGATCTAGGATGAATGCCAGTGTAAAATGCAAGGCGAGGCTGCACACGTGGTGCTAGTTAGGTAGTGCCACAGCATAGAGTGCTCTTCGTAAAGTCTTCATAGAGATTTTAGGTTGTTAGCCCAATCTGCAAATGATAGTCAAGAGAGAACTTACGAAGGCTTAGAACAATTTAGTTGCATATCTTATTAAACAGTGGTGGTCTGGATCCCATAGCAACGAGACCATTACTTTAATAAGAGGTAAATTGTCTTGAAGCCAGCGAAAGTCTAGCCCAGCTGTGAAAAGAAAAGTGAAATCTGCACTTTAAAATGTCACAGGTGGTTCTGAAATACCTACAACTAACTGTAGTTGTTAGGTTACAACTAACCTACAACAACTCCTGCCAGCCTAAGGTTTTCTGATTAATTTCTACTGGGCGACTCACAGTATCCTTATTTCTATTTAGCATTTAAAGGAGAAACAGCTAAATATTTACAAATTTTCTTTCAAATAGTTCAGAGCTGCTTCTGCCATAGCCCACTCAATTTAAGTTTGCAAGTCACAAACCAGAGTAATGTAAACCAGAATGTACTAGTAAGTCCTGTGAATTTAAAATAGCTGCAGAACATGTAATTAGAGCTAACCACATGTTTGACAAAATGGGAGAAATAAACTCCACAAATTAAAAGTATAAAAATTATTTCTGTAATATCAAATTGACATTATTGGAACAAAGATATTCAAGACAACTGCCATCATGAATGAATAAAACACCAGGCAAAATACCCATTAAAAATCACCGTCATAGGATTGTTCTCACCTAAATGATGTAGGCAAAAAGTAGTTACTAGTTTTCCACCAAAATTTCCTTTAAAAGTGAAAAACACATTAAAAACAGGGGAAAACATTTCATTAAATGCTCTGATGCCTAGTATCTAGTTTAAAGCTCTCAGACAAGTGACTGATCCCGGAGAGAGCTGTGTTGGGACCAAGGACTCTAGAACCCACTCTTGTATTAGGAAATTCTCACTTCTAAAAATGATTTTGTTACAAGACTCACATGAATAGGGTGCTCATGTTTAGACCTCACGTTCTGGGAAGAAAGGCAAGTGTGTATATAAATAAACCTCCAACACCAGAGATAGAGAGGGTAATGCCCACAGTCAGTGGCTGCCCCTATTTTATGTCTTGACTTGCCATTATTCTGTTCAGTTGCTACATTCTGCCTACGAGAAACTCACTGAAATGTAAAGACATGTAGTACTATGAACAAAATGTGGTTGTCTTTAAGATTTATTTTTACTGAAAAATGAATGTTTTTAAGAGTTATTTTTTACAAAACTTAATAACTTAGACTATGAAGTGATTTAAATACTAAATCCCCTCAAAAAGACATTTGCACATACATACATACATGATGTACATATAGGAAAATGAAGGTCAAAAGAATTTTTTGGCAGCTGCTTCTTGCTGAGTCCTAAAAAAAGAAAAAAAAAAATTTTTAAACTATCAATGCCCTCTGAAGTAGAAAATACTGAGATAAACGCACTCTAAGCATGCACACCCAATAGACTAGTAAACAAAATTGTCTGTGAAAGCTGCATTAAGGTCCTATTTAATTCTACAAGTATTTTATCCCCAGACATGTTGGATCAAATGTCATCAAGAGACTTACTTACCTGTACATGATATAGCCAATGAACAACACTGTCTGTACCACTACAAAGATGACAAAGTGGATGGTGGATAAACATGATGGAAAGGGTGGTAGTTCTGGGCATTTGGGTTTTTCATTAGATGGCTGTAAAGCAAAGAATGTGTATTATAATTAGTCAAATTAATGGCCTGGAAAGACATAGTGTGAAATCTTATAGAACAATCTATTAGGTAAACAGTATTTTCATTTACTCATTTCCCTAAATATTTTCCACCCATTTAACTTTTACATCCTTTCTTTCACATAGCAGTTGACGTAAGCCCCCCCCCAACCTGGTGCCACCTGCCCTTCCCTGCCTTCACTACAAATGATTTCAGTGCCTTTATGGCTTCAGGGAAAGGGTTCCCCCAGCCTCCTACTGCCCTGGATGCTTCCAGTTCACAATTTCTGTACTGACATACAATCAGACTTCAGGCTCAGTAATGTTCCAGATTATATGATAAATGACATGCTACTTACCAACAAATTACTTAAACAGAATTTGTTTCCTGACATATCCTTTGAAATTTCACAACATCAAACCTGAGTGACTTCTGAAAACTGTCCCATCTTCTGTCTCTATAGGACAGGGTATCTTAAGGGGCTAATTAAAAATCAGGGACAAAGATGTCACCCAGACACAGTGGCTTCTAGGATTGGTTGTTCTCAATCTGGCTGCATCTATGAGGCATAATTTTTAGGACATACTCACCCCGACGCATCAAGTTGGCCATTACAACAAAGAGGGAAAGTATCTTTAAACAAAACTATGACTTGGTTGAAAAGCCAAGGCCAATAAGAAAATTAAGATTTGCAAAAATTCAAAGCATGAACATAGAAATGGTTAAGAAAGGCAGTGTCAAAATATAATGGAAATGAGATTGGAAATTGAAGACAAGTGTTTTTCCCTCTACTAATGACCTTGAGAAAGTCATGTTAATGTTGTTATTGCTGACATAATGTATTTCAAGGATTGGGGTCCAGCTTCTTATCTATACAGTATTCTGCTTGCATGTATGCTTGGATACCAGAAGAGGGCACCAGATTTCACTATAGATGGTTGTGAGCCACCAATTGGTTGCTGGGAATTGAACTCAGGTCCTCTGGAAGAGCAGCAGTGCTCTTGACCTCTGAGCCATCTCTCCAACACCCGGGTCCTGTGTCTTCTAAGCTTGATTAGGACCAACTGTATTCTAAATGCGTGCCTGTACAAGGCTACTTACTTAGCCTCCGAGGAAAACACTCAACACAATCTTAATTATCTAATCTCAAAACCTAACTGAAGTGACATAATAACAAAATAGCAAGAAAATTGCAGGTCAGATCCTTGGGAGAAAATAGGCCAGAGAAATATGAATATTAAGAAACACACGATCAAGTCAGCTAAAATCCCAGTACTAATTAGGGAGGGGCTAATGAAGTCCTACCCCAGCTTAACTCCTACTGGTTATTGATGGCTGCTGGGGGAAGGAGAGTCCGTTCTTTTCAGGGATGTGACCCCTATGCACTGCCAATGCTCTGGTGAGTGGCCCTCATACACACACAGGCAATACTAAGTGGTCTCAGTGGGTTTAAAGAGTACATGGTGGGGGGGGGGTAGGGACTCTGTCTGATCAAAACATTCAATATTCAGATCTTCTCACACAGCCTGCCTTCCTCATCTCATCCTTTGTCTCACTGGCTAACAACTTAGCTTCTCTACCTGGAAATCCACTGACCACGCCCACCAGAGGATCAGGAAGGTGATCTTCACTCTCCTTCTAGTCATCCAATTCAAATCCCCCAAGCTCATTCCCAGCACTGTAGTAGGCCACCAGCATGGGCTAGCCTTCTCTCCCTTCCTTGGACCCCAGAGATCTTAGCAAACTCAGCTTTCCTCCCTCCTGTCCATCTTCTCAGCCCCCAGCTCTTTTAGCCTGTCCCCATTCCTGCATGTAAACTCCCAACACCAAGAAACAAGTCTATTGAGGACATCCAGTGGCCACACCAGCCAGGAACCCATAAGCACTCCTTACCAGACAAAGGCACTGCTATCATACACTCCTAAGATCCAGAGAGCAACAGAAACCAAGGACTAGAAAACTCACCCAACAAAGACAACACCTAGAATCACAATCATTCCAACCCAGATGCCTAACACCAGCATAAAAACATCAGCACACAGGAAAGTATGTCTCCACTGGAGCCTGGCAACCCTACTAGAGAAGGCCCTAAGAAATGCAATATAGCTGGAGCACAAGACAAGGACTTCAAAATGGCTATTATGAATCTGTTTGCAGTCCTTAAAGAGGATATGAATAAATCCATTAAATGAAATGTGTGAAAGCATAAACAGGGGAATGAAATGACATGATTACCCAAAACATATTTCATAAGTCAGAAAAGGCCTTTGACAAAATACAACACCCTTCATGATAAAAGTCCTAGAGTGTCTAAGATACATCTTAAATAATAAAGGCAGTTTCCAGCAAGACAACAGCTAACTTCTACATGAATGGAAAGAAACTCAAAGCATTTCCACTAAAATCAGGAACAAGACAAGACTGTCTACTCTCTCCATACCTTATTATAGTAATTGAAGACTAAGAAAGAGCAATAAGACAATTGAGGGAGATCAAGGGGATACAAAATTGGAATGAAAAAAGTTAAAGTATCTATTTGTAGATGATACCCTAGATGTGATTTAAATGAAAATAGCCCCCATAAGGCCACAGGAAATAGTACTATTAGGAGGTGTGGCCTTGTTGGAGGAAATGTGTCACTGGGGGGGGGGGGGGGGCAGGCTTTGAGGTTTGAGAAGCTCAAGCCAGGCCCCTTGTCATGCTCTCTTCCTGCTGCCTGTGGATCTGGATGTAGAAATCTCACCTACCTCTCCAGCAATATGTCTTCCTGCATGCGATCATGATTCCTACCAAGATAATGAATAAACCTCTGAACTGTAAGCCAGCCCCAATTAAATGTTTTCCTTTATAAGGTTGCTGTAGTCATGGTGTCTCTTCACAGCAATTTTTTTTTTTTTTTTTTTTTTTTTTTAATAAAGAAGCCAGAAATACACACTGGAAAAAAAGACAGCATCTTAAACAAATGGTACTGGTCAAACTGGGTGTCTGCATGTAGACAAATATAAGTATATCCATACTTATCACCCTGCACACAACTCAGCTCCAAATGGATCAAACATAATAAATCTGATAGAAGGCAAAATGAGGAATAATCTTGAGCTCATTGGCACAGGAAACGACTTTTTCAATGAAACACCAATAGCAACGGAACTAAGAATAACAAGAGGACCTCATTGTGGTGGTTTGAATAAATACAGCCCCTATAGCCACATAGGGAGTACACTATTAGGAGGTATGGCCTTATTGGAGTAGGTGTGGTCTTGTCAGAGGAAGTGTGTCACTGGGGGTGGGCTTTGAGGTCTCAGACACTCAAGCCAGGTCTGGTGGCTCACTGTCTCTTCCTGCTGCCTTCTGATGAAGATGTAGCACTCTCAGCTACCTCTACAGCACCAGGTCTGCTTACATGCCACCATGCTTCCTATCATGACAATAATGGACTAAACCTCTGAAATATAAGCCAGCCCCAATTAAATGTTTTCCTTTATAAGACTTGCCTTGGTCACAGTGTCTCTTCACAGCAATAGAATCCCTAACTAAGAAACCTAATGAAACTGAAAAGCTTCTGTATGGTAAAGGATTTTTTTTTTTTTTTTAACTACACATCCAATAGAGGGCTAATATCTAAAATATATAAAGAACTCAAAAACTGGATGTCAAGAAAAATAACCCAATTAAAAAAATGGAATACAGATCTAAACAGTGAGTTCTCAAAAGAGAAAACTCAAATGGCTGAGAAACACTAATAAATATCCTTTCTTATCATGGAAATACAAGTAATACTTTGATCCTATACCAATCAGAATGGCCAAGATCAATAATGACAGTTTATGCTGGTGAGGATATGGAGCAAGAGGAACACTTATCCATTGCTGGTGGAAGTGTAAACTTATACAGCCATTATGGAAATTACTATAGTGGTTCCTCAGGAAACTAGGAATAGATCTACTTCAAGATCCAGCTATACCACTCTTGGGCATATACCCAAAGAACTCTACATCCCGAGACAGAGACACTTTCTCAACCATGCTCATTGCTGCTCTATTCATAGTAACCAGTAATTGGAAACAAACAGATGTCTGCCAAAGTATGAATGGATAAAGTAAATGTGTTATATGTATACAGTTGACTATTACTCAGCTGTTTAAAAAAATGACATTTGTAGGTAAATAGATGGAGATAGAAATAAAATCATCCCAAGTGAGATAACCCAGACCCCAAAGAACAAAAAACGGTATGCATCTGCATATATGTAGATGTTAGCTGTTAAGTCCTTGATAAGCAGGCTACAATTCATACAGTCACAAAGGTTACAGAGTAAGGAAGAAAGGGGGAGGATTGGATGACTCTAGGAAGAGGAAATAGAACAGATACTTATAGATGGGGATAGGAAGGGGGAAGAAAAAGGAGCTGAGAGAGGAAAAATGAGGAGGGACAGCTAAAACTAAGGGCCACCTGAGCAACTGTATGGAAAGCTAATGTAGTAGAAGCGTCCTAAAATATATACAAATACAAAGGTGACTTAAATGTGTTTGCCAAATAACTGGGGAGACGGAGCCCCAACTGGACATTTCTTGTTATCAAATGAGGCACCATAAAGGAGTTTGGAAAGGGGAAACTATAATCAGAATATATTATAAAAATATCCATTTTCAATTAAAACAGAAAAAATCGACCTCATATCCATTTATAAATTCTCAAACAAGATAAAAGGCATGGGATTACAGAGGATAGTAAAATAGGAATACAAATATTTTCATTGTCTGGTAATGTAAATCCCACTCACAAAACCCTCGTTGTTTGCTCCTGCCCAGTAAGTAATGACAAGTGCCGACACAGGCTCTGCTTTCTACCTAGGAAACCCAAATCCAAAGGCTTTCGGAACCCATGGGACAGTTAAGAAAGAACATGAGCATAGCTTAAACCATGACACAGGAAACCACCTTACCATGTTGCGCTGAGCAAGGTTGTCAATATCTCTCTTCACGACATGCAGGTGCTCTTTGATGTCCATGAAGTGCTGAGTTGTCTCATAGACGCCTGCAGAGCCGGGGTGCTGTATGCCACTCACCAGCCGGACTGTTTCACTCATGGAGTTCCTGGAACACAAAATCCCTTTGAAATCACAAGGGTTTTGTTTTTTGTTTCCAGTTACATATTTCAAATGGGTACTCCTTTTAAAGTTCAACGCATCAGATTATCAAAAAAAGAAAAACCCAAAAAGTCCAACAGAACAAATACAAAACCAGAAGACACAGTGGTGCATACCCATAAACTCCATACTTGAAGGCTGAGGCAACAGGACTGGGAGCTAAAGTCCAGCTTGGGCTACACAGTGAGACCCTGCCTGAAAAGAGGGGACTCGATGGGAGAGGATGGGAAGGGAAAGGAAAGGAAAAGGGGAAAAAAGAACCCTACAACAGAAATATGTATTCAGAAGAGTGAAGCTGGATCTGGTGTAATGCCAGTTCCCGGGAGATGACTACAAGTCCCGAGGTAGGTCTGGACAGTCCACGTAAACACTGTGATGTGAGCAAGCCTATTTTGTTCACATGGAACCTTAAAGGACTGACCTAAAGAGGGACTGGAAAGTTACTGAAAATCAGCTCAGGGATCCTTACCTATGTGAATGTCCTCTAGTAAAAATTCTAGATACCAAAGCTTGAGAGAGCTTCCCACACTATTTGGAGAATGACCCCTGTCTTATGGGGCATCATGTCTGAATAAAGCTATCATTAAATGAAAAGCACATTTAATACACCCAGTAGATAGAACACTTTGGATCAGCACACAGCATAGCAGAGATTTGCTTGTTGACCCTAATGAATGAGGGGTTGACTGAGATTTGAGGTAAGATGCCACTGCCCGCCATTGTCATATCATACCAATAACCATAGCCCAGGAAAAGATAAAGTTCAAAATCTGTAGTACAGTTTGTAATGCACACTTATCACTTTCGAATCACAGTAAAGTGAAAACTTGTAATTAAAGCCCTGTGTGTACTGGGAAGCTGCTGGAAGGGGTGGGACCAGGGGGGTGTAGGGGTGGGGGCTTCTAGGTGTTCCTGCACCCTACCCCCATGCCACCCTTTCTTTGATGACCATGTTACTTTTTGTTGTCACAAACCATGACCAGATTCACAGCAGCTTTCTGAATTCTCTGAGAATTCAGAGAATATGTTGGTCTTAGGGTTGAACTGCACCTCTATCTCCCTGTGCTATCAGATGGCCCTCAGGTACAAGCCCAGAGAGTCACCAGGAAACAGCCAACAAAGCAGCACTGTCTACTCAATCAAGCATGAAGGAATGTGTGACAGTCTCCTGACCCCATGCACCACTCTTACACACTGATTTAGGGCATATTCCCCATGCAAGACATGACTCCACTGCTCAAATCTAAGGCGAAGCTGCCACTGAAGCCTGTGGATGTGAGTGACAGCATGATGGTAAGAAACCATAAGCACTCTAATAATGGAAGAAAGAGAACAGATCTGTTTATATAAAGGGATGAATGGTACCTGAAAATAGTGAAGGTACTTTCAAAGCTTTATGAATGGTTAAGTCATCATGTGATCACCATGGACAGGATGAAGTCCTTCAAGTCTGTGAACGGCAAGCTGTCCCTATGTCCACCATGGACAGGATAAAATACCTTCAAGTCTGGTGGGTGATTTCCCAAGGTGGGTAAAACACTAAGAGGCTCTTCACCCTTCTGACTTTATCTCCTACTCCTCTTTCTTTGGTCTTGGTCCTTTCCATTCCCTGAAAATACCCTTCAGCTGTAAGCCTGTCTGTATAAGGCTCTTCCTAGATATGACCCTTGCTTCCTATCTGAGGCTTTAACACCCTGATGATAAGCAGATGGGGAGGTGGGAGGAGGAGGAGGCAGCAGGTCTGAAAGGGGTAATACCTTTAGTGTATGCGTGCATGCATGCATGTGAGTGTGTGTTGCAGCTCCCTAGTGATGGAGGGCCCACCCAGGTCATTTGTTGACATATAATATGAATGTTAATTTCCTGGTTCTTACAATCATATAGTGTTTATATAAAATATCAACATTAAAAGATGGGTGAAAGATACACGGAGACTTAATATATGTAATATTCTAAAGTTCAAACTCATATGAAAATAAGGGGCTTGAGAGATGGCTCCTGTAAAGAGCACCGGCTGCTCTCCCAGAGGGTCTGAGTTTCATTTCTAGCTCACAGGATGGCTCACAACCACCTCTAACCGCAGATCCATTTTTCTGGCCTCTAAAGGTACTGTATGAACATGGTATGGACGGACATATAGACAAAACATAAATAATAAATCGCAAAATAAAAAATACTATGTTATATAACCCAGTCAACTTCTAAAATAAATCTGTTCATTTAGCTAAACTATTTGAACAGCACAAGTATTCGCTTGGGAATTGTGACCCAATAACAAAAATGTTTCTTAAACACTAAGGAGCAAAATACAAATTTCCAGCTGTCAGCTGTGTCTGTTAAGCTTCTTCTGCTCAACCTTGTCCTATGTTTATTCCTTAAAAGGCTCACTTTGACACCCTCCTGTCAAGGGTTGAACTGGGTGGGAACACTGAAGCATTATCTTATGAAAACACACATGGGCTGTGTTCTCCGTCAAAGACATTGAGAAGATTGGCTATCTGTGTGAGTCAGCCATCCTCATAAGAGATTTGTCATTCAACTGTCTGGACTTTGTCTATTCCAACCTGTCCAGGCTGTCATAGGGCAGAAGACGGCATCAAAAGGAAATTCCTGAGCAAGTGTGCCTGTTCTCCAGGCCTGCCACAGTAAATGCCCTTCTACCCCAAGATTTCTCACGGAGTTGCAGCAGCTCACTCCACACACCCATAATTTCCAAAGATAGACATATACTTGGTTTCAAATCACTACAACAAACCTCTTTGTTTTTAAAGATGCTAATATTGAAGAATTTCCCCCCTTTTTTCAGATCATAATGATTTTTAAAATTTGGATGTTTGCAGCTTGCCTTCCTGAAGGATACTGACACAGGAGAGCAGGCACACAAGCTTCTTTAGGACAAGGGAACAGAACACTCAAATATGATTGTTGGATACTTACTTCATCTCATTCACTTGTCGCAAAATCTCATGCTGGGTTTTCACAACTGTATCTAGTTCCTGTTGAGAGACCTGGAGGGAAACAAGACAAAGCAGCTTAGCATCCAGGTCATGAGAGCACAGTGCTGTTCTGGCTGGAGCATTTTGAGGGAACCCTTACCTGCCCAGGCTGCCCTGGGGTCCCCGCTCCTCTCCTGGAGATCTCTTCTGTCAGGGAAGAGACGTACCTCCTCTGTTCATCAAGGATCATATCTAGCTGCCTGTTAAGTTGCTTGATTTCCAGATGAATACGATTCTGTCCTTCAAAGACTTGTCTTAGCTCGCGATCGCCTACACTCTCGAATACGTCATCCGCTGAAAAGTAATCACAAGTTACAATCATTACAGTCCTCTGAACATCTGTGGCTTTGAAATGCTCTAACAGACCAGGTGCTGACATACACCAAAACCAGAACATTACCAGCACAGGGGTATAAACTTCCAAACAGTTCAAACATGACTAAATTACTATAGAAATTACTATCTGAACTTTTTCGCTTAAAATAATTTTATTTTATATGTATTGTGTAATTTTACTAGGGAGAACTAACCTGGAGTAACAGAAATCAAAACAGTGACAGGCTTTGTGGACAGCAGGTTTATGGAATCAGAGAACTTTCTGGGGTGAAAAGAAAATTCCATGCACTGATACGGTGATGCTTAGGTTGTCACCCATAATTGTCAACAACCAGCTGTGTTCTTTATACACCTTCTACAAGCAGCTTCAGGGTACGGTGACAAACAACATGATATTTACCATACACCACTGAGAACTGTACACTACACAGCATTCAAATGCTAGACATGGGCTTTATCAAGCAGTCTCTTTCAAGCTGATGGGGAAAGACCAGACATAAACCTAGCAGATACTAAGTGTGTAGTCTGTTGGACTTTGCACTGTTATATTTTTGAGGATGTAACAACATATAAAGTCTCAATTTCTCTGGCTTACACTAGCACTTAAAAAATTCCCACCATCAAAGTCTGTATTCTCAGCAGTAAGGGGAAGTTGCTGGGGATGAGGGTGTCATTTTCTTCAAAGGCCTGGGAACTATTGGACCAGTTGTGTTCATAGGGACAGGAAGGTAACACAGGGAAATGGGGGCAAAATAATTCAAATACATTGTATACCTATATAAAATTGGCTTTTCAATAAAGGCCACTGCATAACCCTGAAAGGAGAGAGCCATCTTGGATGGTTTTATTTACCCATGAGGGCAGCACTGTCTTTTGTTTTTCATTTGTTTAGTTTCAAGAACACAGTGGTGAACGTGTCAATGCCACCCTCACCAAGCTCCAACCCAGTGGCTCATATTCACTCACACAACTAAGGTGTTCTTCGTTCAAAGCCACACTCTCAGACCCTGAAGGACTCAGGGCTTGCTTTATTTATCACTGTGCTCAGCAATTCCTGGGTGTGCTGAGACAGACGGGATGAGGCAGACAGTACAGACCCAAGTGTCCCCACAGAGCCACCCCAGCCAAAACTTACCTGGCTGTCCCTGGAGGTCAGGGTGGCCTTTCTGGAATTCCTCCTTCTTCTTGTCCAATTCTTGTTGGAAGTGCTCAAACTCTTCTTGATATTTTTCCTTTTCTTTTTCTGAAATGTCTTTTTCTAGTGTAGGCTTTTTCAGAGGAAGAGCAGGTCATAAGAAAGGGAACTGGTGAGACATCTTAGCATCTGTCCCTTTTCTTATGCTCGCTACTCCACAACTGGCTTAAAGGTTGTCCTTTACTTAAACTACAGCTAATTTGTTCTTGGTTTTAATAATGCCAAAAATCATAGTAACTACTACCATTTAATGAGTATTTATTATAAACACATGTGTCTCACTTAATCCTGACAACATTAAGAGGTGGCCACTGAACATATCAACAGCATGTTACAGAGAGGGTTCGGGGACTTATACAACACCAAATGGCAGGGACTGAAACTAGACCCAGACTGACGTCACTCTTATCAAAACCCACAGCTGGAGAACACCACTGAAAACTGGGAATTAACTGTTTGGAAGAAAGTATACTCACTGGCTCTTTTCCGGGCTCAGTTAATTGGAAAGTCAGGAAAGAAAGAACATCGTGGTCATCTACAAATTTAAGAAAAGTTTCAAGAAATGCTCTAAGTAGTTGTTTCACAGTTGTGAATTTACTTGACAGGCATTTATTACTTATGAAAGACTGACTTCAGAACTGCCCCAAGTCAGCAGGTGCAGCAGGGTTTAACTGGAGTGAAGTTAGTGAATAGTGAGTGTCTGACAGGTGAAGGTGCCTCCTACACTTTCCCAGTCTCCTGCATGGATAAAGTCCTGTTCCAAGTGCACAAAACCCTGTCCACCTACTTGCAGTGCCCTTCCTTTGGTACACGCTAGCTCTGGCCTTTCATAATTGTTTTTCACAACCGGATGATACTTCTATTTTATCTAAACCATGTAAAGTCAAACTAATATCAATTTGTTTAAGTTAATGGCAGGAACTAAGGAGACTGGACCTCAGGACAGTGAACTACTGTGCCAATCCTGGCTGACTACATACATGGTACAGAGTGATTTATTTCAAGTGTGCTGCATCCTTCTACTCCTTCCTCTCTCGGGGAGATTTGAAGAGGTAGCTAGGAGAGATCATGTTCTGAACAGTCAAGAATCACAAATCCAGACCAGGACTTTCAGGGTGTGTGTGTGTGTGTGGGTGTGTGTGTATATGTGTGGTGTGTGTGGGGTGTATATGTGTGTGTGTGTATGTGTGTGTGTGTGTGTGTGTGTGTGTGGGTGGGTGGGTGTGTGTGTACGTGTGTGTGTGGGTGTCTATGTGACCTTGAGAAACTGCCTTCATCTGGACTTGGCAACACCTGAAAACCACAGGGATATACTTTCTCCCTCTCTGCTTGGATTGTATAGAACAATCTATAGTTTTGGAAGTATTTAAAATGGTAATGTGCCATATGAGTACAAAACTGTA